TCTTCATGGCTCCCAGTCCAGCCATCTATCAACTACAGCACATTCCCTCTGTATAAAACCTAATTGTGTCTTACATTCAGTGCTATAACTAAATATATACATATATTATACACATGTGTATCTATTTATGCCCACATAGATAAATGTACAGATTTTTTAAATCATAGTTGTGATATCGTTAGTGTGGGAGCTAGCTCCTCATGAGATTCTTTTACCATAGGAGATCAGTTCTGTTTCTTAGAAAATTGCCTAGAATAGAGTTTAAGTAACTTGGCCAGAGTCCCACATCCTGCTTGTGTCAGAATCTATACTTGAACCCAGGTATCCCCAACTCAGGGGCCTCTGACTCTCTGTAATCCCACACTAGCTTGTTACTGTCTCTCTGTCTCTGTCTTTCTCTCTTTACACACACACACACACACACACACACACACAAACACATATACACATACACATACTCATATACATACACATACACATGCACATACCTATACCTATACCTATGCCTATGCCTATGCCTATACCTATACCTATACCTATACCAATACCTATACCTATACCTATACATATACTGAGGCCCAGAGAAGGGAAAAGGTGCCTGGAGTTATATGGCTAGTAAAGGTCTGAGTTGGGATTTTACCCCAGGTCCTTTCCTTCTGGAGGTCATTATTTTTTCAACCCAGCTCAATAGCAGAACTGTTGGGAGGAAAGTGCTTTGTAAACTTTAAAGTGTTTTGAAGATATGAATTATTATGTGTTTCATGAAAAGCTCAAAGGAAGGAATAAATGTAGCTCATTCCACTTGCACCTTGTGTTTTCAAGAGTAATTAGTACTTTGAGAGACAGTGTGGTCTAACAGAAGGATGACCTGGGTTTAAATCCTACTTCTCAAACACATATTGGTTGTATGACTTTAGGCAAATCCAGTTAACTTGCTAGTATTACCAGTCAATTTTTTAAGACCGTAAGTGGCAAATTAATAACCAAATTATGTTGATAGAGGAAGTTTCCTCACCTGAAGTTCTGAAACGAATAAAATTATAGGTCTTGACACCCCCCTCCCCCAAAAAAAGATACTCAGAATAATTAGGGGCATGAAAGAGCTAGCTGTAAGAGAGGTCACTTGTCAGGGCAAAATCTTTCACTCAGGTTTTTGTCCCCATACAAGGCAAGGGGTGTGACTGTTTACCTGATCTCAATCAGTAGCAGGAAGAGATAGGTCATAAGGCTTGGGTGAGCAAAGAGGGTTTTCAAGATCTGGGGCAGTCAGCAGTGAGGAAGAGAAGAAGGATTCAAAATTTACCAATCAAAAGGAGGGGAGCAGAAGGAAAGAATCTAAGAAACAAGTAAGAGGTATAATAGAAGTCAGAGGAATCAGGAGTAAAAGCTATGATAGCCCTGGCCTGGCTCTGACTCTCTTGTTCTTCCTGCCATCCTTCACTGTCCATCTGTCTGTCTTCTACATATTTAATTTTATAGATTTAGGGAAGGAGGTATTAACAAAATGCTTGAAATGAGAAAGCAAAGATGAGAAAATGCATGCAGTGTGGTGTGTTGTGAGCTGTGCTAATAGAAGGGTGTCTACACTGAGGAGATCAATGAGCCATTGAAATATTCTCTTTCTCATAGGCTTCTTAACCAATCTTTATGGATCATGCATTTGGACAGAGAAAAAAAAATATTTGTGTAAATTCAAACTATTCACTTGATTTCCATTAAAATGTTCAATTATTCCTCAATCACCTCTGAAATCTAGGACATATAGTTTCATCTGATAACATCAGTAATAATAGTAACTAATAATAGCTAGCATCTCTATATAGTACTTCCTATGTGCCAAGCACTGTACTAAGTGCATTACAGCTATTATCTCATTTGATCCTCACAACCACCCTGGGAAGTTGGTCCTGTTATTGTCCCCATTTTACAGATGAGGAAAGTGAGGCAAATAAAAGTCAAGTGACTTGCTTAGGGTCACACAGCTAATAAGTATCTGTGGCCAGATTTGAACTCTGTTTTTTTCTGATTATAGGCCTAGCACTCCATCCACTGAACCCCTAGTTGGAGGTAATAGAAGGTAGTAGAAAGAGTACTATTCTGGGGGCAACTAGGTGGTGCATGGATGGAGCACTGGCCCTGGTGTCAGGAGGACCTGAGTTCAAATCCAGCCTGAGATATACAACACTCACTAGCTGAGCAAGTCACTTAACCCCAATTGCCCTCACCAGAAAAAAAAAAAAAGTACTATTCTGGAAGCCAGGAGACATAGGTTCAAATCCTAGTTCTCCCACTTGGTATCTGGGTGACTCCAAGCTACAATTCAGACTGAAATTTTTTATTGTTATTATTTTCTTCTAAAACATTTCCAGCATGGATGTATTATCTCTTTCCACATAAAAGGAACAGTTGTCAGTCACCCCTGAAATAAGTAGTAAAACTTGAGGTTTTGATGAATCCCAACGTAGGCCATTGGCTTGGAAGCTTGTGGAGGCAGTAGAGCGCAGTGGGATGAGCCAGTGTTGTTAATGATTTCCATCTCCTGAGAATGATGAGGGTGTCTTGTAGAACCATTTATTAGGTGTCTTGGGAGACTGATAAGTGTATAGTCCACTAGTGAAAAGGTCTGAATTTTAAATGACCATATGGCGGTAGGCTGGTCTCTTTTCTCTCTTGTAAGAGAAGGAAGTTGGACCTTGTTGCTCGTTCCTGTCCAGTTCTGAAGTGTTAATGTCCAAGATTTAAGTGCCTCACGTACAACCTTTTCTTTGTCTCCTAGGAAATCTCATGCCAGATTCAATCCCAGTTGTCCATTCTGGCAGTATGCAGTGGGTTGTGGGAGAAAAGGATGGTCCCAGTTGAATGATAGATCCAAACTGCTGGAGATGGCTGATGTGGTGACCCCAAATTAACCAAGCTAACAGCTGTGCAGGGACTTGGAGCCCATTCCACTTTTACCTCTCTGGGGTTCCCATGGCAACTGTAGTGTTAAGAGCTAACATGGGCTGGCAGAGAGTGGAATGGAATTTGATGTATGTTAAAATGCAGTGGCCAGTGAAATAATTTTGGATGAATCCCCTTCCTTACTGGACCAGTGTCTGTGACTCGATGGATGTCAGCTTCCTACATTTTTGTGCTAACTTAAGTATTTTAAATTAATTTGGAATGGGATAGGTTTCCATCCAGTAAACCCCTTCCATATTCTTCATTGGTACATAATGAAAACGTCTTTGTTAAGTGGGGCTCAATTTATGTGCTAAATACATTTTTTTATTTAGTTTTTGAACCGTGGATGATTTATACACACCCCTCCCCCATATGCCTTGGAAAGCAGCCACCATTTCAAGAAAAGTAATGAGATGGCATATTTCAGGGCCGTCTTTCTGGGCTTGGAGGGAGAACCAAAGCACCACTCACTGGATGAAGCTCAATGCCTTTGTGGAACACATTGGTAAAGATAAATACCACACGAGAGAAGTCAAGTTGGCTTCACTCTATGTCAAGGCTGGGACTATCTCAGCTGTTCCTTTGGTGAAAATGTGGGGTTTTCAATGCTGGGCTTGAATCATTTGAGCTCGTTGGCAACCATCTTTGGTGAGCTGCATTTTTAAGAGAAAACAATTCAGTTTTGAAATCCAGAGAGCCTAATCTGAGATGCAAAAATATGTACAGGCATCATCTTGGATCTTCTGAAATGTCTGGGTTTGTTTCTTAGTGTTATTTAAGTTGAGTATTGGGATGCTGGGAAAGAGCTGAGATGCATCATCATGGATGTTCTCTCCATCAGTGTAGAATGTGGCCTTTCCATGTTTTGTTGTGGTCTGAAGAACTCATTACTCCAAGAAAGGGGCCAGCCTTCTGCTGCTGATCCTCTCAGCAGTTAGATCAATTGATTAGTTAATCAATGAGCATTTATTCAGCACCCAGTATGTGACAGGCACTGCATTAGGCACTGGAGATCTTACAAATATGAAACAGAATCTGTTCTTGAGCTTGTAGTTTAATCAAAGGAGATAGTATGAACATAAATATACGTGTATATATGGAATAAATATGTGTATATATGCATATATGCATGTGTAAATATATGTATATAAAAAGCAAGGTGCTTATATACTAGTTAGGTGGATAGGACACCAGGACTTGTGGTAGGGGAAGGTCAGGAAAGGCTTTGTAAAGACACTAATGCTTGAACTGAGTCTTGAGGGAAGTGAGAAGGGATTACATTCCAGACATGGTTGATACATAATCTATTACTGAGCTGATCCTTGGAGATTTTATAATTTCTTCCATTTGATTAATCTCTCCTTACTCTATGCTCCAGCTACACAGGCCTTCTTGCTATCCCTCACTCAGGACGCTTTATCCCCCAAGTCTAGGCCCTTTCACTGCTTCCCTCCCCCCATCCCCATGCCTGGAATGCTCTTCCTCCTCCCCTCTACCTCTTAGCATCTTTGGCTTTCTTCAAGACTGAGCTCAAGTTCCATATTCTGCAGGAGGCCTTTTTTCTGCCCCTCCCCCAACATCCCCTTCTGTGTCTTTCCTGCGAGATTACTTCCCCTTTGCACTGAAAATATCTTATACATACATAGATATTTGAATGCTTGTCTCTGCCATTAGAATGTAAGCTCCTTCAGGGCAGGGACCATGCTTTTGTCTTTCTTGGTATCCTCAGTGTTTAGCACAGTACCCAGCACACAGTAAGTGTTTAATAAATGCTCATGGACTGACTCACTGACTGATAGAACCTTGAATGGCTATGAGAACTTGTTTTTCACTGGCACTAACCTTTGGGAACCCAGAATCACCTTCATATTCCCCAAAGAGGCATGGAGGACCGCTTGTGTGCAGGACCTCCCTCTAAGATCTACTAGAAGAAAAAGTAAAGAGCCCACTCACGGTGTTTGATATGTAATGAAATATGCACCATGAGATAAAAAGTGGTATTTCTCTCTGAGATTGGAAGTGATCACTAATTTCTTTTGTTTCTTCCCCCTCCATAGGTAATTTTGATTCTGACCAAGTATTACCATGCTGACATGGGAAAGGTGCTGGAGAGCTCTCTGTGGAGGTAAGGGCTCTCAGAGCCGCCATCTTCTTCTTTTTCAAAACTCTACAAAAGGATTATAGCATCCGCACATTATTTAGCCAGGGAACCTTTATCAGAGGCTACATACACTACAGGCCAAGTGCCAGATATTGGTCAGCTTGCCTGAGCCAAAATCAGTCATCCTTCTTTTGGGTTGGTGTCAGGCAGAGAAGCCACTGAAAGAGAATTAAGAATTTGTGCAGTAGAAATAAACAACATCAGAGAATAGAAAACCTTTTAGAAGCCATTTTAACAGAAGCAGAGGGTTGTTATAAAATTGGGTCAATGAACAATTTCCTACCACTTCTATTCTCGACTTCATGTGTAGCAATCAGAATCTACCGAATGCACCTATTATCTTCATTATCCAGGAGCAGGACTTTCCCCCTTACTTTTCTTTTGGCTTAGCTCAGTACATAAGTAACATGTTGATCAAGAGCATCTTTCTGTACTTGAGATTTGAATTCAGTCCAGTCTTGTGAGACTCAGTTTAGCCCTTTAAAAAAGAAAAAAAGATGATTTGTAAAATTATTTTCTATTAGCTCTGTGGCCCTGTCCCCAGAACATGCATGAGGATCTCATGGAGAGTGAAATAGATATTTGCATGGCACTTGGTGATAGGCACTGAATCTGTTCTCTTATCTCATGACTAGCTGCATCAGAGCTAGTGAACTTTCCTGGTGAGTATGAAGGGCTAATAGACAAATGTTTATGAAATAAGTACCTCCTACCAGCAAGGCACCATGCTAGGTGGGAGGGAATAAATGCAATGGATGAAAATAATCCCTGTTCACAAAGAGTTTACATTCAAATGAAGAAAAAGTAGCATATATTTAAGTGTATACTGAATAAGTACAAAAAGAAAAAAAATCAGATTCTAAGTGGGAGGTAGTTTGGCAGGGAGGGCTGGAAGAAGTCGGGTGGATCAGGAAAGGCTTCACATAGAAAGTGGTTTTTGAGCTGCATCTTGAAGGAAAAAAGATTCTAGCAGGTGAAATCGAGGAGGGAGTGCATTCCAGGCATGGGATTAGGCCAGTGCAAAGACATGGAGAAGGTCAATGGAGTGCCATGTGTAAGGAAGAGATAGAAGGCCAGTTTGGTTGGAAGAAAAAGTGTGGAAGTGAGGGTCGTGGTGGGTGAGTTGGAAACAGGTTGGATATAAGTTTTAAAGAGATTTAAAAGCTAATAGAGTTTGTATTTTAATCCCAGAGGGAACAGGAAGATACTGGAGTTGATGGAGTTAGGCAGAGTGACATGTCAGAGGTATGACTAAGGAAAATAGAAATCACTTTGGTAGCAGTGTGTAGGATGGACTGGAAAAGTGAGAAACTCAAAGCAGGGAGATAATCATGAAGCTATTTTAATTTAGGCAAGAGGTGATGAGGGCCAGAAGTAAAGTAGTCATTATGGGAGTATAGAGGTCTGTTGGATGCAAGAAGATAGAAATGGCAAGATTTGGCATCTGATTGGATGTGTAGGGAGAAGGCGAGTGAGGAGTCAAGGATGATACCAAGGTTATGAAACTGAAAGATTGTAAGGATGGTGGTGACTTTGACAAAAATAGTGAAATTTGAAAGATGAGAGAGCTTTGGAGAGTTGAATTTAAATTCTCCCCAACACATATAGCGTAAAAAATCTAGTAGGCACTTGGTCATATGAAACTGAAGCTCAGGAAGAGATGCTGGAGATGTGTGTGTGTGTGTGTGTGTGTGTGTGTGTGTGTGTGTGTGTGTGTGTGTGTGTGTGTCTGTGTGTATGTAATGTATGTATCTGTGACATGTTTGTATGGAGATGAGAGTTAAATGCAAGGGAGCTGATGAGGTTACCAGAGAGAGAATAGGACTGTGAGTTGGAGCCCCACCAAGGCCAGTAAGCCTTTCCAGGAGTAAAATTCAGTCCTCCAGTCATGGAATGGCATCTTTAACACCAAGTGAGCTAGTTTGAGAATACAGTCTTTTTGTGTGGAAAGGTCAATAGGCTGCGGATAGGCTTACCCATCCACTAACCATTTCTAGGAAAACAAGGCAAATGCTAGAACATCCTGGTAAGGGTACAGGAGAGGGAGCAGGCAGGATGAGGAGCACCTACCTTATGCACAGCCATCGCTGCACAGGTTTTTCATTTGTGATAAGTGCCTACAATGGGATGGGGATGCTGGGACCAGACCATGGTGGGTACCATGGATGCCTTTATTTCAGAACATGCCTTATTTATGGGAAATCATTTGGACAAATCACCAATTGCAAGCCTTCTTTGAGGCTCCCCTCATCCTCCAAATGAACAATCATTGTTCTGACAGAATAAGAAAGTGAATTAAGAAAATTCCTCTCATGTTGTCTCTTAAACTTCAGACTGTTACAGGTTTCTTTGCGGCTTATTTCATAGGGCAATTAACTTAACATAGGAATCAAAGGGTTCCTCTCCAAAGCTAGTCACCTCATGTTGAATCAAGCCAAAATTAGCACTGGCCATGGAGTGGTTTGAGATTAAAACAAATTAGCCAGAATTAGCTACAGTCACATCTGAAGTATCAAGAAGACCTCATCATGTATCAGTTGAAGGCTGGACCTTTTTTCCCTTTGGACTAACATTCTAGGAGCAATCCAGATAGACAGATGATGATGATCCTGAGAACAGATCAATTCTAGGTAGTGTCATGTCACAGTTTCCATTGTCTTAGTTTAATTCCTGTCTTCACAAAAAAGGGAAGATTAGATCTGACATTGTCCTTGAGTTTCCCAGGGACAAGTAATGGAGGAATTTTCTAAGGTGAAATGCCTCAGTTTCTCTGAATCTAGTACAGCCTTCCACATAGAACCTTGTTTCTAATGCCAAGGATACCTCTGCATTCTTAGGCTGATATTTTAGAGGCCATCCCTGAGTTGGTCCCCATTGTACAAGTTAAGCAAAAGGCAGGGGAATCCCTATTTTCATGGAAACAGGATTTCTTCAGTAATTCCTTAGGCTTGATTTCCATATTGTAATCATTCATCAAACAGAAAATTCATTAGAAGGAAAATAATTCTTTTAATATTCCATTGAAATTTCTAATATGTCTCAGAAACCTTCATTAGGAATACCTAGGAATCTGACCCTCCTTCCTCCTCTCTCCAAGAGGCATATCTTAATGTCACTTGAGACAAAGTGACAGAGAATTATTGTTCATAATTGTCTTGTTCATGTGGCAGACCTGGGGAATGGCATTGTGGTAAAATCTGAGCATCTTTCAAGGCAGGAGCCAAGGAGTAGAGGTGTGGAATGTGTGATCCAACAATGGACAAAGTGGTCTGAGTGCAGGGCCAATGGGGAAGGCTAATCTGAGAACATGGAGGGGAGACATCTGTCTGTAGCCTGGGAGCAGATTGTTAGCAATCAGGACTCAAAGAGACCCAAAGGAGCAGGTAGAATTGACTGCCAAAGTGAAAGTCCGCAAAACCCAGACACCAAACAGGTCAAGGAAGAAGATCCAGGCTTGGGAGAAGAATTTAATGCTCTAAGAGCTAAGAATGTGGCTTTTTAAGTCAGGGGCTCTTGACTATCCTCCTTGTTCTTCTCAATGAGCTACACCCGTGGTGGGGACATTATCCTTCCATGCTCCCATAATGGGAAACACCTGTGGCTATATGATGGAACAAGGATGTAGATGGTGGCGGAAAAAAAGCCCCACCCTTCTGGTGCCATTTCAATGTAAAATGCCATAGATACAGGGCTTAATATTGCAGCTCTGTGCATTTCAAATCGATTGTGAGGATCTACAGTTCAGTGCATGTTGTGATCGTATTAAAGGGATCTGAGGATTCTTCCTCTCAGAACTGAGCTCAGAATTCCTGGGATATCTTGGAAGGAAACATCTGCAGTACCAATGGGAACTTTCGTTTGTCCTGTGGAAATATCAAAGTAAATCTCAGTGGTTGCTTTGACAATGCAGTTAACGGTATAATGCAGCCAACCGAATGCCTAGTGTATTCACAGCATTGCAATAACTACTGGGGGGATAAAGAGTCAAGATCAAGCTTAGTCTGTGTTTTCAGGGAGTTTCTGGTAGGAGAAAAAGATACCAACACAATGATTATAAGATGCAATAGCATGTAAATGTTACAAAGTAAAGTGTCATGTTGGGTATGGAAGGGTCATTACCCCACTGGGCAGCTCAGGGACGGCTTCTTGGAAGAAGCAGCCTTTGAGTTTAATTTTAATTGTTTTTACATATATTTTCTGTTTACTTTTTTGTGTTCATGTTGTTTCCCACCAATAGAATATACGTTCTTTGGGGGACTTTCATCCTTCTTCCTTCCTTCCTTCCTTCCTTCCTTCCTTCCTTCCTTCCTTCCTTCCTTCCTTCCTTCCTTCCTTCCTTCCTTCCTTCCTTCCCTTCTTCCATAAGACAAGCATGTAATAAATGCTTATTGAAAGCATGAGTGACTGTGGGGGACTTTGAGTGTCAGGTGGAAGAGTTTGGCTTTCATACACTAGAGACGGAAACATTGACTTTAGGGGATACAGGGAAAGATTATTCTGGTAGCTGGACTGAAGACTGCTGGTTCAGAGTGTCCCTTTCAGTTGCTTTTATCACACACAGAAACAAAACAGCATAGATCTGGTGTGAAGCATGGCATCATCTGAGCAGGATTTAGGCACATTTCTGCTCCATTAGAATATTTTCAAGCACTGAAAGAGGGTCCTGTTCATGCAACCCAAGGAGATCAACCTCAAATCCTACTATTGTAGGTTAACAACTTCAACATGGATGAGGGACAAATGTTAGCCAGGGTTATTAAAAAAGTACTAAGTATTCCTGGAATACTATCTGCAAATTCAACAAATACATTTTTAATAACAGGTATAACATTTGCATAACAAATGTACCTTTCCAAAGCTTGGCTGAATTTCTTTTTAATTGGTTCCTGTTTAATGGTCCAGCTGATAGCATTCTGTTCTGTTTTGCCAGATCTGATTCTTATTCCTTGTCACATCCTTTATGT